ATCCCTAGTTTCTAGTCACTCAGAAAGTGTAAAGTCAAGTCTTAGCAACTACATTTTTACAGACGTTTTTCACTCATGATAATCAGATTTGAACATGCTGGCGTGACATGGACGAACAGTGTGGTTGCTGGTTTGCACTGGGATCATTTAGTGTTGGTTATTGTACTTGGAGTCCCCTGAGTCCGGGACCCTTCACCTCTCGGACTTGGAGCTCCTGTAATGACACCCTGTAGCGGCGGCAGAGGCTCAGCTCACCTGTCAGGCGTCCTTGTCTCTCTTTTAGCTGGTAAACTACACACACACTTTCAGCCAGGGGCTACAGACGGTGTGTGTTTTTCTTGGTGACCCTGCCGTGTGTTTGCTATCAAACAGCAGGATTTACGACTGGACCTCTCTCTCTCTCTCTCTCTCTTTCTCTCTCTCTGGTCATTACAGAGGGGAAAAAAAGCGTTTTAAAATACAAGACAAACACTCCAGAGAAACGATTTTACTTCTTCAGAGGAGAAACATAAAATCGTGTAAAGACCAAAAATATCTTGACAGTGAAGTGAGTGTTTTTAAAGCTCAGAGCCAACATGGCAGATAGAAACTATTAACTCCAAAACACATGAACTCTGAAAACCAGGATAAGATCTAAAACAAGCATGGCAGCTGCAATAATACACTCAAGTCTCTCTCTCTCTCTCTCTCTCACATACACTTGTTCTCCAGGGTCATTATTCCTCCAAGGTTCAGCAGTGGGTCAGCATCCACTTTCTTTTTCGTTTCTTTTATTCATCGCACCTCCTCTCTCTCTTTCTCTCTCTCTCCATCCTTTCGTTGATGTGACCTCACTGAACCCTCAGCTATGGATCGATGTGTTGGATGGTTTTTAGGTTTCATAGAAAGGTCTGTGTCCATGTGTAGTGTGATTATAGATCAGCTCTAGCTTCTATATTAATACTGTGAAAGTATCAAAGCCTCAGTCCACAGAGAAATGCACACAGCCTGTATTCAGAAACTGAGCCTTAAAACCAGCCGTCAGGACTTCTGGAACTTTGTGATGTCACAACAAAGCAGTCACCAAGCCCCGCCCACCTGGACCCACCATCCAAACCTTTACAGGATTTGGTTTCTCTGAGTGTTTTTACCTGAAATCTGCTATATTTTTATTGGATCAGTCAGAAAACAGTCAGCCAATCAGAAGAGCGGCTCAGAGCCTCCTCTCTTCTGATTGGCTCACAGACCTGTTGTTACTAGAGCTCCAGAGAGAAGCCTGAGAGAGGAGATGTGAAACTACACTGAGATGGTTTTTATATCTTCTGATGGATCAACACTTCAAATAAAACACAGAAGAAGAAGAAAATATGAAGCAAAACTTGAACATAACAAATATTTAAGTTACATTTGTGTGATGGATCAGCCTCCGTGTATCAAACACATTTCAAGTCTCTACAAGCTGCTTCTTCAGCTGCACTGAAACGAACCAGCGCTCTGCTGCCTGGGAGGACGAGGATCGATCTACCCACCGGCTACAGCTCAGGATGCATATGACCTCATTCTGTTCACAGTGGCTCTGTGTTGTTTACACAGACTCCCAATCCAGTTTCTCTTTCTGCTTCTTTTTAATTATCCAGACGAGCTCGCAGGTGAGCCGCGCCCTGCAGCCGCGACACACACTCTGTTTATGTTAGTGAGACGCCTCCGACAGGCAGAGACCATCACCCTCAGATGAAGCTGCGCTGTGAGTTCACCGTGTGACCTACAGGTTCATGCAAGTTCAACGTCACCAGGCGTACACACACACACACACACACACACACACACACACACACACACACAAAGAAACAGAAATCAGTGAAGATATGCACACACATTCAGAAAAATATATATATACAAAAACAAAGACGAGTGTTTATACACACACACACACACACACACACACACACACACACACACACACACACACTAATCAGCTGCTGCTGCCCCTCAACTGTGGAACCAAAGCAGTGATTAGAGCTTCAACTCTTCACCTCGGTGTCGAACCGGCAGCCGCCGCCAGATCTGCTACCGGGCATAATTACAGGTGAGGAGGAGCTGGGCGGCGGTCCAGCCCCGATCAGCCTCGCCTGCGTCATAGGTGACTCCGCCCTCAGCTCGCGGCAAAGTGCACACCAACACACACACACACAGGTACGATTTAACTGAGCACATGAAACACAAAAACAAAATGTACAGTAGCAACCGCAAAGAAGAAGAGCTCATAAAACTAAGAGATGCAGAAAGTTCAGGTATGTGTATACGCAGTTTGACACACACACACACACACACACAAGGAAGTACAAACAGAAAAACAGCAAATAGTGACAGTGTAATCTGCTTGTTTACTCTACTACACTTATGAGGACCAATTCTGAACCAGACTTGAGACAGAATCAGACACACACTGTGAGTTGTGACCTTATCATTACCTCACAGCTCGCCACAAACAGGGCGAGTGACATGACCGTGACCTCTGGACAGAGAAACACGAGCGAAGGTTTCTGGGTTTACTAAAGTTCATTTTATAGAAGTTCATTTGAGGACAGGTTCATAACGAGGCCTGAGGGCGGCGGTGTGATCAACGTGTTGACGCCACGACAGGAACAGCGTGATGTTAAGTGTTACTCAGGGGGCCGCTGGTCCAGAGCCCCCGCTTCAAGACTGATAACAGAGAGGTCGTTTTCTTTTTTGCTCTGATGCAGATCAGTGTTTCAATAAATATCTGTCAACTAAATCTATTCCTACATTTATTTTTCTTCATTTTTTTCTTTATATTACAGCTGCACAGAAAACTGAGGCTGGGTATCAACAAGCTGAGAAGATCAAACACACAGCGACAGTAGCAAACACATGAAGACACTATAGACAGGTGGCGCCATCTGGTGGTTGAATCTGTGCTTTGCCTCCTGTGACGAGTCAAAGTGTCGACTTCATCTGTCATTATGAAAGTTTATTTCTTTGGGTGTAAAGGGACCTTGAATCCAGCACTGTAGTTATTTATAATGAATGTATTGAGTTTTATTTTATTAAATGTCCTTTTATCACGGAGGAGGAGACGCAGATGAACTCAAATGAAGGAGAATGAAAGGAGGAATTTCAGACGTTCCTACCGTCTTTATGGTTTCATCTGTCGTCAGTTCAAATCAGTTGAATCTAAAGTTAAAGCTCCTCCAGTGTAAAGGTCTGTGTCCATGTGTAGTGTGATTATAGATCAGCTCTAGCTTCTATATTAATACTGTGAAAGTATCAAAGCCTCAGAAGAGGCTCAGAGCCTCCTCTCCTGTGTTACTAAAGGTATTATAAAATGCTTCCTTTGTACAGAAATGAAGCCAAGGTCAGTGTTTGATGTACAAATGTGCGGCTGTTTTTTAAAGCAGCCACAACAATAAGAACTTTATTAAGACATATGAAAACGAACTCTTCCTCCTTTGTTCACAGCAGACTCTGCCCTTCACTTCCGTATCTGAATGTCTCTTTTGTCCTGGGGAACCGTGAGGACACTGAACACAGCTGTAGCCGGATGAGAGAGACAGATGCAGAACATGCTGTCTGTTTATCTCGATCTGTCCCTCAGTTCTCTGCAGCCTCTGCAGCTCTGATTAAAATGACTAAAACCAGCAGAGGGCCTCGTGACCACCCACAGCATCACCTGCCCAACGCCACATTTAACCTACATTAATAACCAACATTCCTGATCATTAATCTCATATTTTGAAGTACAGTAATATTGTCAAATATACTTTAGATTTTTCTATTTATATTGAAGGTGTCCCACCTGCTGAACAAATTCCCTGTGTGTTGAAAACCTACTCAGCAATAAACGGATTCTGATCCTGCTTCAGGTGAACAAGCACCAACAGGATTATTGACAGTGGAGGGACAGATTAGGGTTAGTGCAGCTGATCAATGATCAACAGGAAATAAATCATTATCAATTAATCGTTTAAGTCCGTTTTCAAGCAAAAATCCCCAAAATTTGAAGGTTCTGTGTGTTTTCTAATGTGAATATTAGCTGCTGATTTGATAATGAACTGAATATTTTGAGAAATTATATTAATAATTTTTCACCATTTTCTGATGTTTTACAAAACAATTAATTGATTAACTGAGAAAATAATCAGTGGACTCATGTAAAGTTTCATATTTGATGTTTTGTTGCTTTTTATCTGCAAAAATCATAATTTAAAAAAAAGTCACCAACAGGATGTGAAACATTTTTATTGATCACCATATTATTGATGATTATTGGGTCTGGTCTGTTTGTAATGTAAAATGAATGGAACGAAATGACGGAGCATTTGGATTAACAATAACATACTGTTATTTATAGTAATATTTTATTATCTTTATTATTATTATTATTATTGTTATTATTATTATCATCATTCCTGACAGAAACACAGGAGAGCTTCTCACGCGCTCATTCAGCTGCCAAACCTTTTTTTTCCTCCTCTGTCATAATTTCATAGATTCAGTTTTTTCTCTCTGGAACAAAGTGAATCTAAAAACACTTTTCTCACGTGGACTCGGTTCTGACTGAACCGGGTCCCTGTAATCTATTACCTGAGCGGAGCAGCGCGGCCGCTTCCACCTGAGCGCGAGTCTGAGCGCGTCACACTCAGAGAGGGGAGTCCGCTGAGACTCACACCGGGACGGAGACGCTGTCCCCCCGCGGAGGCGCCAAACTTTACCCGGATTTATTATCACCGCTGCTCGTTTATTATTATGGGTTGTCTGTTTTTTTTAAATCTTGAATATTATTTTAATTTCTGAGGAGAAATGTTCTTTTCTGGGATTTGATCCGCGCCTCGTGTGTAGGGAATCAGGAGCAAACAGGATTTTTATTGAATAAAGTCACATTTTTTCTTCCTGTTCTTCCTTCGCTGAGACCAGAGGATGGTGCGTGTGTCCGGGGCAGCTGAGCAGCGGAGGGTCGGTCTCAGATCTGGATGTTAATCTGTTCTCTCCGTGTGGAGACGATGGGAAACACGACGTGGAGTAATTTCACCCAAGTGCTGTCGGAGCTGGACGGGACGGGCGGCGAGGAAGAGGAGGACGACGGCGGGAGCGGCGATGGTGGTGGAGGTGATGGAGGTGATGGAGGGAGCGGCGGGCTGCGCGTCCTCGTCGGCTGCGTCCTCTTCCTCCTCATCGTGTCCACGCTGCTCGGGAACACGCTGGTGTGCGCCGCCGTGGTCAAGTTCCGGCACCTGCGCTCCAAAGTCACCAACTTCTTCGTCATCTCTCTGGCCGTGTCCGACCTGTTCGTGGCCGTGCTGGTGATGCCCTGGGAGGCCATCACCGAGGTGACGGGCACGTGGCTGTTCGGACGGTTTTGTGGCGTGTGGATCGCCTTCGACATCATGTGCTCCACCGCGTCCATCCTCAACCTGTGCATCATCAGCATGGACCGCTACTGGGCCATCGCCAGCCCCTTCAAGTACGAGCGGAAAATGACTCACCGGGTGGCGTTTGTCATGATCGGGGTGGCGTGGACGCTGTCCATCCTCATCTCCTTCATCCCTGTGCAGCTCAACTGGCACCGGGCTGGGGAGGAGGAGGAATCGGAGGAGGAGATGATGGCGGAGGCGTTGGCGATGATGGTCGCCGGCGGCAGGAACTTCACAAACAGCAGCAACATCAGCGCCGGCGCCAAGAGCTGCGTCGCCAACTTAAACAAAACCTACGCTATATCCTCGTCCCTCATTAGCTTCTACATCCCCGTGGTGATCATGATCGCCACCTACACCCGGATCTACCGGATCGCTCAGACCCAAATCCGCCGGATCACGTCTTTGGAGAGGGCGGCGGAGCAAGCGCAGAACCAAGGCCACGGCGTGAACCGGAACCAGCAGCAGCAGCATCGGTCCAATGACGAAGCCTCGTTAAAGTCGTCGTTTAAAAAGGAAACCAAAGTCCTGAAAACGCTCTCCATCATCATGGGGGTGTTCGTCTTCTGCTGGCTGCCGTTCTTCGTCCTCAACTGCACCGTGCCCTTCTGTGACCCGCCCTGCGTCAGCGACACCACCTTCACCGTCTTCGTTTGGTTCGGCTGGGCCAACTCATCCCTCAACCCTGTCATCTACGCCTTCAACGCCGACTTCCGCCGCGCCTTCACCACCATCCTCGGTTGCAACAGAATCTGCTCGAACAACGTGGTGGAGGCCGTGAACTTCAGCAACGAGCTCGTCTCTTACCACCACGACACGACGCTCCACAAGGAGGCGCTGGTCCCCGCGCAGCCGCAGCAACACCCGCGCACCATTGACATCGGTTCGGACCACCTGGACGACATGAGCGCGCAGTTTGACGAGGAGTCGCTCATCTCTAACGGTTCTCAGAGCCACAACCGACTGCTGCTGCTTCCTGCCACCGTCCAGTTCGAGGACGACCCCGAGATCTCCTTGGAAACCATCACGCCGTTCACCTCAGTGGCGGGGCTGGAGAGTGATGCACTGATACCTGGACAGGTGCACCAGGATGAATAATTGGGCTGTAGATAAAACGCCAATTCATTCAATTTCTTCCATGTGACTGTTGGACTGTTTGGTTTCATTTATGTGTTTGAAATGGAATGAGATTTAGTAATTAGACCTACCTGACACACAACGGTTGGATATTAATTAAATGAATTAACTAATTTATTTATTACCCTGATTTTTTGTACTGTAACTGGCTGTTAAATATGGTGTCTGAACCTTTCCTCAAAATAATGAATTGACGAATCGAGACAAGTCGTCCAACCTGAGCGAACGTTATCGGTAGTTTGTCCCTACCCTGGGTTACAACCCGTAGGAGCGTCTCCTGAAATAAGCCCCCCCCCCCCTGCAGGTCCTAGGCCTATACCTTTGTTGCCATGGTTACAATAACAAATATGCACACAAAAACTACTTGGTTAGGTTGAGGAAAAGGTCGTGGTATGGGTTGGAATAAGAACTTCCTTAAAGGTTAGATGTCAGATAATAAACATTAAGGTAAGGTTGTGGATACAACAAAAAACAAAGACTGTATCAAGAGGAAACAGACGTCTCCTGTATCATCCATCCTTCCAAGCCCAACAGTAAAAGTTAACCGTGGGTTGTAATAAGCTTCTTGCACAGACAACCTACAGACTCCTTTGTTTTTTTTACAGGAAGGTTTCCTCAAGGTGAAGTTAGTAGGTAAGATCGATCTCTGAAACAAACGACAAGTGTTTCAGCTGCTGCCTCTGAAGGACGTGTCCGCTGAAGGTCGAGTGTGTGGAGTGGAACGCGCCTTGTCGAGCTGTGATGAAGTGTTTGGTGTTGAAATGCAGAGTTTGAAGAGGGAGAAGTCTGAACTGAGACGGAGCTGCCGAAATATTTAAAAAAAAACAACAACTCTTTCCTTTTGTGTGAGCTGAGATCGACTCCTTTAAATGTCTCAGTCGGTGGAGCGTATCTGGATGTCATGTTACCCCCAAAAAATAAAGGTGATTTAAAGATAACTGTGACTGATGGATGACCTGTTCTGAATAATTATCAAATCTGGTTTTCATAGCTTTTTGAAACTAAGAGAAATCAATGGTAACCCAATTTGAAGAAATCAAATCTTTTGGTTTTGGAGGAATGGTTGGTGGGTGTTTATCGGGCTGAAATGCATCACAGGTGTAATCCTTCAAAATACTGATTAGATTCTTCTTATTGTACGACAAACCTTCAAGAAAGTCGTAGTGACTAAGTCTGTGTCCTCAGAATAATGACATCTCGTCCTCACTGATGCTTTGAAACGTCCACGACTTCCAATAAGATTTGTGTATAAAATTAAACAAAAAAACGGCCACAAAGTTGTCCGCGAACACGTCTGAACAATTAGAGTTTCAGTGAGCTACACCCCCTAGTGCTCAAGTCAAGTAATGGCTCCTACAAAAGTCGTATTGAGACTTTAGTCCACTCTGAACTGGTCTGTCACCTCACCACCCACCCACATTGTTTTCTGGATTAGTCTGTAAAGTCATTAACAAGGATTTAGCGTGAAAGCCGAGTTTTAATATTCGGGAGAACAATGAGCAGAGTGATAAGCTTCATGCTTCAGAAAAGAAAAGGCCATGAATAAGTCAAGTCTGAAAAGCAGCAACAAACCGTTTACATTTACAACAAAGCAGAAGGTTTCAAAGATTTCAGGTAGAACTCTTCTGACAGAACCATTAAAACCACCTGGACGTTCAGCTGATTTTAGGGAAAATTGGCAATAAAGCAAAGAGGTCAAATCATCGTGTTAAATCAGGAGTAAAAGAGACTGAACTGCAGCATCTTCTGCAGTCGTTCTCAGAAGCATGACACCTCCTTACATCTCCCCCCAAAGAATGACAAGATTGCTTCTAACCATGGAACAGAAAAGAAGAGAATTTCTTTTCTTTATATTCTGAGTTGGATTCTGTTTTTTTTAAAAGTGAAGACGATCACTCAGCTTTCTCTCCTGCAGTTTAATGAGGTGTTTCCATCACGACACTCCCTCTTGTGCTAATTAACAAATGTACAGGTTTAAAGAACAATTCACCTGGTACGGGAAAACAAAGTCTGAACAGAGGACACATGTTCATCTCATTCTTATTTTACGCATTTGATTAGGATCAGATTGATTAGCGTTGGTCCTGGAGACAATTTAACATTAAAAATACTCATTTTTTTCACCTTGACATTTTATGAATTTATTTTTTTTTTAATTTTGGGAAAATGACAGGACTGATTTATTTTACAACCTATTTTGTGAAAACACAGAAGACACAGTTACTTAAAGCTCCATATTTCTTCTTCTTCTGTGTTTTATTTGAAGTGTTGATCCATAAGAAGATATAAAAACCATCTCAGTGCAGTTTTACATCTCCTCTCTCAGGCTTCTCTCTGGAGCTCTAGTAACAACAGGTCTGTGAGCCAATCAGAAGAGAGGAGGCTCTGAGCCTCTCTGCTGATTGGCTGACTGTTTTCTGAGTGATCCAATAAAAATAAAGCAGATTTCAGGTAAAAACACTCAGAGAAACCAAATCCTGCAAGGTTTGGATGGTGGGTCCAGGTGGGCGGGGCTTGGTGGCTGCTTTGTTGTGACATCACAAAGTTCCAGAAGTCCTGACGGCTGGTTTTAAGGCTCAGTTTCTGAATACAGGCTGTGTGCATTTCTCTGTGGACTGAGGCTTTGATACTTTCACAGTATTAATATAGAAGCTAGACCTGATCTATAATCACACTACACATGGACACAGACCTTTACACTGGAGGAGCTTTAATAGGAGCTCTAACAGGAATGAAACTAATCTATTTGTCCATGTATAGACCAAATACCATATAAAACCTGGAACATTTACTCATTTGCTGCAGCAACAAAACTTTCTGGTCACTGCAGTTTTTTCACCTTCATCAAATTCACAAACTCAGCATGTGGCGAAGAGAAAGGTCACAACTTCAAAACCTTTCAACACTGGATTTTAATAAGGTCAGAGGAAAAGAAAAATCCTCTGCAGTGAATTTCCTTTAAGAGACTGACGCCTCAGAGAACGAGGCAGGAGAACGAGCTCGGGCTTCACTCATCATGACTGAAAACGGAGCCACCTGCACATTTCTGTTTCCTCACTTACACCAACAGAATTATCTCCCAGTTCTTAAATAATTCACAGGAAACCAATAAGGAGAGCAGGTCGAAGAAAAACCACCAGAGATGTCTGATAGCAAAATAAAATAAAAATTACAGATGGAAAAAAAAAGGAGCAAATGAGGATTCTTTTCTTTTTCAGTTTCCCTCTGTTTGCTCCTTTCATCTTCAGGCAGTAGTGCAGTTGAAACACACTGGGGGCGACACCCTGAACCCCACAGGTGTCCTCCAACAGGTTCAGCTGCTCAGGTGAAATTAAAGTGGAGCCACACAGTGTTTCTGTGCTGGTGGATGAGACCGAGAGAAAGGAGAAATAACGGAGACATAAACCTGCGATGGCCACTTCAGAAAAATCCCAAAATATAAAGAGAGGCTGAACGTAGACCAGACAGCTACAAAACATGGTGGACAACACGCCAAAGGGCAGGATGCGAGATATATATATATATATATATAGACTAACAATCTGATGGGAGCAGGTGTGTGAGCAGGTGACAGGTCAGGTGAGGATCTGAGGCAGGAAGCAGACAAACTGAGAACGGACTGGACAAGACGAACCTGTAGAGGAGGAGACGTGTGATGATGGGAGAAGGAGGGCAGAGTCAGAGTCACATGATGAAGCTGAGAAAACCCTGACAGGAAGTGAATAAGAGGTTGAATGTTAAAGCTCATTCTTCTCATCACATCACCTCTGGTTGAAATTCTGTTAATTCATCTTATTATATATATATATATATATATATATACACAATTTAATTTACACCATTATACACAGTCTGTGAGGCTCTTCTGTTTTCTCTGTCGTCTCTGATTAAACCCTTTCTGCCTTTATCCTTTTCTATTTCTCTATAAATCTGCAGTGTGCATGTGTGTGTGCGTGCGTGCGTGTGGAGAGAAAAACTAAATGTCATGGCAGTAAGTGTAGGACGTCTGCTGATATTTAAACCACAGTCATCACCGCGCTCACATCTCTGCACAACAGGCAATTACAGCCGACACACACACACACACACACACACACACACACACACACACACACACCTCTGTATGTTAACAAGCACAGATGAACCACACTTCAACTTCAACACACGCAATTATTAGCGAGAGGACAGGATGAAAATGTTTCCATCTGCACTTAAGTCTGATTCATGAACCGTCTCACACGCACACGTACACGCACATGCACACACAGACACACACACACACACACACACACACACACACACACACACACACACAGTTTGTGTTTGCTCTTCCACTTTAGAATCATTTGTGTTTTCTCATTTTAAAACAGTTTCTTCAAACTAAAAACAGCACGATGCTGCTGCTGCTTCCTATTGGTTCAAACGTCCGAATATTGTACCTGTGAGCACGCCCACAACTAGTGATGTCACAGCAGGTGTTTCATGATTTTACCAGGGAAATTTCCCATTAGGGCTGGGACGATTATCCGACGTAATCGACGTTGTCGATTATAAAAATTATTCGACGTGGAATTTTAGTGTCGACGCGTCGTGTAAAACCACACAGGGTAAATGTTCTTAGAACAAAACCGGAACTTTCTAATGGGGCCCTTTATATCCATCGTCTTTGGTTCACCCGGATACAAGCGCAGCGCAAAGGCGGGGACAACGCGGTGACGTAATTGAAGTCATTGACTACGTGAATGATTTGCGTCTGTGTAATCTATCTGAACAACATGGCGGCGTCTACCAGCAGTACGACGGAGCGTGTGGAGCAACACGCGGCAAAAAAGGCTCGTACACGGTCCTCCAGAGTTTGGGAATACTTTAATCTTGACACCAACAGTGCGGTAGTCTGCAGACTCTGCAAAGTGCATCTGGCATATCACTCTAGCACGACAGTCATGTCAAGTTAATAAAAA